TAGAAGGAAAAACCTGAAAAGCCCGACAGTGGCCTTTAGATAGAACTGGTCCAGTTGCATCCAGATATTAAAAAAGGTGACTTTTACTTTTCTTTTTTAGTTATAATAAACGTCGGATATGAAATAAAAACGTGCAAAAATTGGTCGATAGCCTCAAAAGTCTTTGGAAAAAAACCCTAATGAGCCAACCCCCAAAAAAGGTAACTTATCACTCGAATATCCAGACTTGGAATTTGAAAATCGAGCATCTCAAATTCAAAACGGAAAAAGAAAGAGCCAGCTTTGCCCCTTTTGCGAACCAACATGCATATTCTTTAAATGGAACAAATGTGCATCTGAAATAGTTCAAAGCTCAGACTTCATTTTATGTGCCATTTAGTGACATTTCTTTTTAGATCTGATGGCTTTAGGTCTTTCTATGCTCATTTCTATTCTATGCCTTCTTTTTTATGTATTCCAGCTACAGTTTCTACTGCGTATCTCGTTATTCACTTCTTCAAAATACTATAGTTGTTTCTTAGCCAGGTTTTCTGTTTATGATAGTACAAGCAAGAATGCCGTTGATGACTCATAGTATTCTTCTCTGGGTTTTATATATATATTATCAATTAGGATTTTGTCGTCTTGTGTCTTAAAGATAGTTTTTACTTTTTTTTTTTTTTTTCTACAGTATGTATAATAGTATTTTTTACAATCATTATGATAAGACTCTTGCCATTTTTTGTTACTTATTCTGTGTGTGCTTTCTAACATTTTTATATTTATCATGCTTTTTATTGTTATTTGTTTTTATTGTGTATCGATTATATATGAAATAGTGACACTATTTTTATTATAGTTTGTCATGCTCTCATGATACTTCATATTTTAGATATCTTTTTTTCTTCCTTGAAAATTTTTTCACGATTCTTGTTTTTTTTATTTTCTCTTCTATGTTCTGCGGTTTTTGAGCTCTTCGTAGCTTGTTGTTGAGTAATATTTTAGAGTTTTTCTCCTAGTTAGTTTTTTTTCTATTTTAAGCGTAATTGCTAGTATGCTGCTCTCTAGTGTTATGTTGTTTATACTAATAACCCTCTTGTGTTTTTATGTGTTCTTCTTGTGTTTCTAGTCCTAGTTTCTGATTCCCTATAGATGAATTGATGTTTTTTATCTTAATAGACTCTTAATAGTTTTTTTATATATCGGTTATATATTGGCTGTAGCTCTTTTTGTTAAATATACTATATCAAAGGTTGTTTTAAATTTATATAGCCTCAATTTCCATATATTTTGTCTTTACGCGGTTTGAAATTTTTTTTTATATCCTATATCCAATTTATATCGGGTCATTCTGAATGCCCATTATGTCTTTTCTGTTCTTGTACCTTTGGTTTTCATTTTTTTTTTATTTTTTGATATTTTTATTATTATTAGATATAGTATAAACTCTCTGCAAAATATTTTCCTCGTGTTCATTGTTTTTATCATGTTTTCCTTATTTATTTCATTTATATGTTTGTCTTGATTTTAATTATCATCGATAGTTAGTTGAATGTAGCTTATAAAACTCTGTCTGATTATTCCGTGTGTATGTTAGTGATATGTTTGCCTTTCTTTTTTGTTCTAATATTTTAAAAGTAGTATATAAGGGTAATTTTAGACTGTAATAATGGTTTTTTCTGTTTGCGATGAATGATGTTTTTTTATGTAGTGTGTTAGTAATAGGCAATTATGTGTTTTCTAACCTGCGCTCGCCTCTGCCAGCTTTTACCCAAGATGGTTCGCCGTCAGTGCGGAGAAGAGAATAGACCGAACAGCGCTTTAAAAAGTTGAAAACGGTTAGAGGCGCCTGCCGAGCATGGGTGAGGAACAGCGGCGTTCCCTTGATGAAAGGTGTACGTGCCTTGCGTTTTGTGAGTCTTGCGAGCACTTAAGCTAAGCCAGCGGTTTGTATTTCCACCAATGGGGAAGCACGGTCAGAGGCGCTTTCTCTCTGACGGCTCAGAGGTCACTCTAGCTGCTTTCCTCTTGGCAGCCTGTTTATTTGCGGGCTCCTCTGGCCTTCCTGGAGCCTTTAGGCCGACGAGCCAGTAGTGACGGTCGGTGTTGTCGCGTTCGGCCCAGAGGTTCACCGGCTCCTGGGGGTGATCGTCGCCTCCAGGCCTTCCTCGCTGCTCCTGACAGCCCACATCTGCCGTGGGCCAGGCTTCGCCACCGCCCCCTCCTGGTGGCGCTTTGCCAGAAGGAGTTGGCGCCACAGAGCTGCAGAAAGCCTCCGAGTTTTCCGCCAGCACGTCACAGTGGCTGCCAGGGGGCCAATCCCAGCGGCCTGAAGGGATGTGGAGAGAGAAAGAAACTTTTTCAGAATACATGACAAATCTATAATTTTTTGGTTGAAATAAACTCCACACACTGAGAGATAAAAGAAGCTGTGATAACCAAGCACAAAAGATTAAACTGCCTGCTAAGAGCTATTTGATATCGGTAAGAGGCTTAAACACAGAGAAATGCATGATACGTAAAACACTTTGTTGTACATGCCAAAAACCGTTTTGACATTGAAAACAGAAGTATTTGATCAGATTCTCTACAAGAAAGCTGCAGTGAGTTTCAGGCGTTTCCTACCTAAGGAAGCCGTCTCTTGGTGAGGCTTCAGCCAGGTCAGGTGATACGCCTCTTGCCTCCACATCTTCTGCCCAGAGCACCAGCTGCCCTCCGTCTCCACAGCCGGAAACGAGTCGCTTCATCAGAACTTCTTCTTCCCTCCGCTTTCTCCTTCTCGGTATACTTTCTCTTCAACCGGCTTCCCTGGGCTCAGCCTGTCTGTCCGTTGAGTTCTGCAGAGGAGACGCCAGCGTGCCGCATCAAATGATCTACACTGTACACATGCCACAACGAATACAGCTTCAAAATTCTGCTCTGGATTATAAAGCTCACCTTGGCCGATCACCAGAAACCGCGCAGTTGGAGCCTCGCCCAGCGACAGACCGTCTCTCGTTCCCGAGGCAGTCCAGGTCGCTAATTAAAGGTCAGCTCAGTGCCTGGGAATAAAAGTTAAACATACGGTTGCTCTCAGTCTTGTTACTTCGTTGTTAAATGTAATTATTCTTCGCCAACATATGCAGGGAGTGAATAAAGCTTTCATCGGCGGCTCTCACCTCTGGATGTCGCAAGACGGGCGACAGGCGACCCTTCGTGTCTCCTCTTCACCGTCACTTCTGCGTTCACATTTGGGCTGAACAGCTGTCGTGTTCATGAGCCGAGAGTAGTTCCCTTCGGACCAGCGTCAATGATCCGGTCCTTAAGAAGAGAAAGAAATATTGCGTTAATTTGTTCAAATGTATCACACACTTTCTGGTTTACCATATACAACTTATGTATCACAGAATAAGGATGCTCCGATCGACCGGCCGCCGATCGTATCGGCGCCGATATTCACTCTCGGCTGATATTCACTCTCGGCTGATCGACGTGCTCTCTATAAAGGCCGATCAGGAGAGCCCGATCACGAGACGTCAAATACATGACACTTTCTCTTGTGCCGCGGGCAAAAACAAGCTCGCCTAAATGGCTTCACCAGTCTGGCAGTATTGGTGTCCGAAAAAGACAGTAAAATAGCGGAATGCAACGTGTGTGAAGCAGAAATCCTGCAGCTCCGCCCGCTGTGACGGACCGGTGAGCGGAGCAACACACACCAAGAGTTAGACCTAACACACTTGGCTATTTGATCTACCTCTGGAACTAGCTAAACTAGTTATAAATATATTTATTCTTCACTGTCGGGTCACTCGTTACTGGATGAGTGAGCTGCATGAGATACTGACGGGCTGTCAGGGGGAGAAAGAGAGGGAGAGAGGAAAAGAGAGCGCTTCCGCTCATTTCTCACGTGTTATTATCCAAAGTTAATGTAAACTTGAATAATGTACATCATTTGAATTTAACAATGATGTTGTTTGTGGAAGCGCATCATGTATTGAAAAATGAATCTGAACTTTTTAATCCGTTACGATTATAAACTGAAGCAATATAAAAATGAGCCCCATTAACTGAGTTTTAAACATCACTTTAAATGGAAGATCCCCATAGGCCCCGCCCACCCGATCGGATGACTGATTCCGGCGATCGCCCCCAAATTTCCCAATCGGAGCATCCCTATCACAGAACTCAGTCAAATCTTCTTTTAAAGGGTTTTTAGTAGGGCGGCCAAGTTAGCGCGTTGGCCGCCCTGTAGTTTCAGAGCGCATCGAGTTTAAAATACCATCTATACAATCCAAGCACACAGCCCCGCTCCTGCCGCCCGCTTGCAGCAGACCACACTTCAAAGTGTGCGGAGGAGACGCCTGGACACGCCTACGAGCAGCAAACTTTCAACAAAGATCGCTAAATGGGTGGCTACAGCTTGCAGGCCAATTAACATTGTGAAGGACGAGGGGCTGCTTGATATAATTCGGTTCGCATCCAAGGACTGCACTTATGAATTGCCTTCCAGAGCCACCACTGTGTCGAAAATACACAACTTGTATGAAGTCCAAACAGCGAAAGTAGGAGGATTTAAGAAAGACTCACCAGAGACTATTGGACTTCACTCAGTAATGACAGTTACCTCGGGGTCACAGCGCATTATTTTGACCCAGTGGGAACTTCAGTCTCATGCTTTGACAGTTATGAAAACAGAGGAGCGGCATTTCGCCGACAACTGCGCCGACACACACACACACACACACACTATTATTGTATTGTATGCGAGAGGTTCCAGGTTGAATTGAGGCAAATATTTGTAATGTTCAGAGGTTGTTGTGTTTAATATTCATGAGAATATTTGTCATTGTTCGAATGATAATAAACAAACATTTGCATAAAGCATATTTGTCCGCTCATATGTTGATAAGAGTATTCAAAAACTTGAAAAATATCCCTCTAAGGTACATTTAGAACAGATAAAAAATGTGTGATTAACTATGGACAATCATGCGATTAATCGCGATTTAAATATTTTAATCGACTGACAGCCCTAGTTAAAGGTCTTACCATTGTCTGTCGTGTTGTTTTTAGGGAAAAAGTATGGCAGCTACACTCTGATGCACCTGGAGAGCAACCGCATTGTGGACCTGCAGCTCGTTCAGGTGTGTTACAATTTTCTGCATTTTTTTTGTTGTATGCTTATTTCACGAGGCCCTATTCTCCTTTTTGTGGTTTTCCCTTTCCTGTAGTGTGATATATAGGTTGTTGTGTATGTAAAGGCTACATTCGGACTCCTTTGTTTACTTCAGTAACATAGTGACATCAATATGTCACACGCGTGCTGCTATTGTCTAGCGCTCAAACAAATTGTACGTAATAGGCTAAGGGGCGGGTCATCTCTGACAGTTGCCCAATCACCACAGAGCCGGCCAGCTAACTAATCAGAGCAGACTGGGCTCTGGTTTCAGACAGACGGTGAAAAGAGGTGCTGCAGCACAGGCAGTATGAGAAAAATAAAGAGCTTTTTGAACATTAAAGCATGGAGACAAGTCCCAGTAGAGACACTACATACTGGTAAGAACCTGAAAGTGAGCAGAATAGGGCCCCTTTAAGTGTATGTAGCCTCACAGTGTACTCCAGTCAGTGTATACATGTATCTTGTGCGAATTACTCCACTTTTTTTGCTTTCTCACGGACATGCAATTCATAGTTTTCATTTTGTTGCACTGTTGGAGGAGCCTGTGACTTACATCTTTCATTGCCATATCTACACTGTAGCTTATGTGCACATGACAATAAAGCCTTGAATCTTGAATCTAGTGAAAATCCCTGTGCAATTACGGAAGGACTCAAACTTAGTTATGTTATTAATTTGCGTAAATTTTTTCCTTTTTCTAAACGTGTAAATGTTTCCAGATTAATTGAATGTGTTAACATTGACAGCCCTATTTATTTATTTTTGCCACCAGAGCAATGAAGTAGGAAGTAGGATCCACATGGAGAAGGAGGGGCTGAAACGCTGCCTGAATGTTCTGGAGTCTAACTGTTTGCCAGTGGAGTACATCGTGACAGACCGCCGTCCACAGATCCAGAAGTTTCTGAGCGATCGCAACATCACACAGTTCTACGACGTGTGGCACTTTGAGAAAGGTGAATGTTTATCACTGTATATCTCATCCAATACACTGTGCGTTTTGTCATTGTATATTCATTTAACACATGTGTACATTCTTGCAGATTTGTCCGTGAAACTTAAAAAACTGTCGCAGAGCAAGGACTGTGGGGTGCTGAAGAACTGGCTGCGCAGCATCAAGAACCACGTCTACTGGACCGCAGTGTCCTCAACTTCAGGGCCCGAGAAGGTGGCCAAGTGGACTTCACTGGTGAACCATGTGCAAAATGTACACGTGCACAAAGACCCCATCTTCCCCAAGTGTGAGCATCCTGTCAAAGTGTCCCGGGATGAAAGTAAATATGTCAAACCAGGTATGTATTCATATATATCACTCCAAAAAGAACACCCACAAGAATAATTTCAAGTATCTCTTTTGAAATACTGATTGGTCTTTTTATGGACTGTTTTTTGTGGATTGTTTTTTTTTATCTAAGGTTCAATTGCATTCAACAAATTGGAAAAAGTTCTCGTTAACAAGACAGTAGTGGGGGATGTAGAGAAGCTGAGTCATCACAACCAGACTGCATCTCTGGAGGCCTTCCACAGACTCATCCAGCGCTTCGTGCCAAAGAATGGGGTTCTCCCTTTCATGGAGATGTTGTGCAGGTAACAAACTATTAGTGGCTAAAAATTACAACAACAAAATCAAATTGTTGTTCATTCTAATTTGCTATTCTGTTTTGCAGGTTGTATTTAGTAGTCATGCATTTTAATGAAAATGCAAACCGTGAAGTGGTCTACAAGGTCGTGATCCTTGAGGACTTCAAGGGTGAATGCATCACCAAGCCAGTGAAAACAGAGCCAACACACAGTGAGTCCTAACATTGTTTTATGTAAAGAGGCCCTATTATCCTTTTTGGGGTTTTTCTTTTCCTGTAGTGTGTTCTATAGGTTTGCGAGCATGGTCTGGAACAAAGTCTTGCCTTTCAGAATATGAACTTCAACTTCAGCGATCGCCGTCTCCTTTCACTCTGAAAAGTAGATAGATCACCTCACAAATACGTACAAGGAAGACAGATTCAGAAGATTATAATTGAAAAGCAGGCATGTAACTCATTTGAATGAATTGTTTTACAGATTACGTGGATGACCTGATGAGGCTGGTGTTTGATGAGGTGCTGGAGGACCCAACTCCTTTTGTGGAGGAGTTAAAGTCCATCCCCATCCCCGGGGAGCGCTCCTCGCAGCAGGAGAGGCCTTCGAACCGTGAAGAGGTTCCCCACAACGTATCCAGCCAAGTGATGTTAGGAAGCCAGACTACTAACCTGCTGGTGCAGCAAACCCCCGGAGTATCGGGAATACAACCCTGGTTTATCATCTTAAACGCCCCCAGCTGACAGGGCTGCAGATGAAAAGATGAGACCAGACACTTTTAGCTGTACAGATACAACCGTCTCTTCTTTGTTGATATGTATATATGGCTGATGATTTACACATGTTTTATTCCGTTTTTCAACTTAAACTAAAATAAATTCACTTTGAGAGAAAAGTAATTTCTCTTTCTGAGTTTCCTTGCTTAGTTATTTGTGTCCTATGGTATAATTAACATACAAGTTTAGATTTCTTTTAACGGTTGACTATCATAATACTAACTCTTATTCAGTGTGATGCCTTATAAAAGGCAAGCGCTAATTAACATTAAATGTATTAAGTGTTTGAAGTTTGCTGGTGTAACAACCAAATGGAGATTTTCGTTTTAATCCTATAAACTACTGACCACACTTCTCTGTTTTGGAATTCAACAGACACTGGAATGGAATGGCTGTCATACAGGTAGAGATTGAGATTTAAGAACAATTTGGAATTGTTTCCAGAGCTGTACATCTTTATTACAAGCATACTCCAACATGTTATTGTCATGTCATTTACCAAAGTACAGTTTTTACCTATGGTTTTTCCTCTAGGCAATATTTGACCTATATTTGTTATCGTCAGCACGGTTGGTTAAATGTTTAAAGCATATAGAAAATGTGCACTGCTAGTGCTGCCATTCTAAAGAGAAAGTAATTAAAGCTGTGTAAATAGATGTTTGGCCACATGGGGGCAGCAGAACAAGCTGTTGGCACTAGACTGAAATATGATCTTCTAAAGCAAATAGGTTGTGTTGCTATTCACTTTTGAAGCCACAATGAGACACAAACAATTTATTTGGAGGCATATTTGTATTAAATTTATAAGGTCCTTTTAGCTCTGTTTTGGTGTCCACCGATACCAGAGGCAAATATCTCAGTCTTTAACTGTCCAATTCTCCACCATGCCAACAACTAGCAAGTCCCTTACCTCTTTACTCTAGCTGGCAGCAAGTAGTTGTGGATTAGGGAAGCAATGTGGGAGCCTAAATATATAATATAAATAGCAGTTTCTAAAAAACAAACAGCTAAACAAGATGATAATAAATAAGTTATTGTTATTACAGTGCAGCTTTATGCCATTATATGATGGTCTGGTTTTAGCTATAACCTACGGTGGCTGTTAGGGGACACAGCTGAGACCAGCTAGGGTTTGGTGATGTCCGGGGATTATATGATGATAAAATGGCCCACGGTCACTGGGAACGTACCTAAAATTGAAGTTCTATGGGCTTATTTTAACAATGTGATCGTTTTTTTCCTTCCGATCTGACTAGGTAAGCTAGGTTAGCTAGCCCTAAGTGTCAACAGGTGCTCCGGTCCCAGATGTGTGCATCACGTTTTAGTGTTTCCGTTCCGTTGTGATGTATTAGTTTTGTATATTTTTCTTTATTCAAAGGTTGGGCATTATGAGGGTTGTTCCAATGTTTCCCAGTTGATGAGAGAATTAAAAAAACAATATTTGAGATGATGGAAGCTTTAATAAAAACAGTCTTCCTCTCAGGTTTCACTGGTGCGCTCTGAACTCAGCACCTTGTGTCAAATGCAGCTTTAGAAGACTGCATTTGCAATTGTATTGTTATTAGACCGTTCAAAAATCATTATACAAGATATTTGCTCTGGCATTATACACACCACTATAATCTGAAAATGAAATCCCTCACCGTGAGTTCGCCTTTTCATCCAGTATGTGAAAAGCCGTTATTAGTGGTAATAGTTATTGCTTTGGAACAATAGCCATGGGCAGAATGTTTCCACATAAACTGCTCGGTGTGTGTCTTCACTTTTTGCTGGAGCTGCTCATTCTCTGTGTGCAAACGTTTTGCTGATTCTCATTCATTTGCTTTTCTCTCTAAATGAATCCTTTCCTAAAGTGGCTGTGTTTAATGGTTGATAAACCACAGTGTGTACAGTATTTGTATAACAGAAATAAGTGGATAAATAAAAGAATACATAAATGCCGAAATATATAGTTGAAAAAAAAAAAGAAGACATGAATAGATAAATATATTTAGTGTATTTCTCCTTTACATTCAGACCACCCACATCATTAGCATTCAATAAATACATAAATAAATATCTGTAAGTGAATGTAAATGTAGAAATACGTTAAATAATTGTATTGTAACGTTCACAGATGGAGTCGGAAACAGGCTTCTAGTTATTAGGCTTTAATAACTCTTATTTTCTTTGAAGATCAGAGGTACAGATATCACTTGTAGGTTCAACCTCACACTCCCTTAAGCTCTCACACACCCACTTTTATAACCCATACTACGTCACCACTTCCCGCCCTCCCCCGTC